TACAACTTCTAAGTGAAATTAGATTTCAATAGTAATAAAAAATAAAGGTAATGACCTAGATTGAGCGTTCATCAATGTTGCAGCAGTTTGTCTCTTTTCTGATCCCTTTTCAAGAATTTTGTACACTTCACTTTTATTGTGTACTGTTACTTCATTTAACCCATGAATGATTACTGCACCTTTCTTTGATGTATCTTCATACAATCTATTCAATGGGTATTTAATATAGAATTAAAAAATGCATCACAATATAACTAAATAATTCAAAATTATATGTAGTTTAAATACTTTGTAATATGTACCTTATTTTAGTTGCATCGTCATTAGGTGATAAAAGATCAAATAAATCTCCATTATAAAGTTCTAGAAAACTAACTCTAATTGTGTATTCTTGTGCTTCCAATAATTGCAATTTGTCAAACATATGACTTAAAGACCTTGGTATTATACCAGCAGATGAATCCTATAATTATACAATTACATGTAATATTGTTATATGTTATATTTTAATATTGTAGTATCTTTTCTTACTACAATTTTAAAAAATATGTTTGCTAAGCTTTTTTAAAAAATGTAACGAGCATTATAAACACTCATAGTGAGTAAATTTTTGTTTTCAAATACCTAATACACATACAAGTATAAGGAATGTTATTGACAACATATTAGAGCACATATTATGTAAATAATGTTATAGAAAAGAATTATCACTTACACTTTGCCAATGCAAAGTTGAATCACTGTTAATTCCTTCCATTGTGAATGTTTTTCCTGTACCAGTTTGTCCATATGCAAATACTGTACAACTATATCCAGCCAAAACTTCATCCAACAATGGATTAACAACAATATTATATACTTCAATCTGTTAATTGAAAATTATATAATTAAATATTATTTACTTAAAACTACATGTTCTAATTGTAGAAATAAATATACCTGTTTGGAAGAAGGTTCAAATACATTATCAAATTTATATTTTTTCGATAATTTATCGTAAGGACGCTCGTGCACTATTACTTCCTTATTATTAAGAACTTCCACTATGGTAGCAGACTTATTATTTCTCTCAAGATTACTTATAGGTCTAATAAAAGGAAATATTAAATAATAACAAACAATAAAAATTAAAACTGCTAGTAATACCATAATAATTCCTTTTACATAAAAGAATATTCAACTAAACAGAGTAGAATCGACAAACATTTCTTAATATTAATATCTGTCTTTTCCACTTTATTACTCCTTTATGATAAGAATATGATTTATAACTTAACATAATAACAAGATAAATAATTATTAATGTTTGAAATTTTTTTATACTTCAACATCTATTACTTCTATAATTTATATAGTCCACTGACATTTCACTATGATATAAAGTATACAGAAGTACAAATTATAAATGCAAATTAAAAATATAAACTAATGTTATCACAATAAACATAACTTATGTGTCAAAATATTGTCATTTCTAATTTATTATAGCATTTTGATAAATAGAATAATACATTTTAAATCTTTTGACTTATAATTTCATAATTACAGTTTTATAATAAATAAGATATATTTAAAATTATGTTAATTCGTGAAAAAATCATTTACTTACCTAACACGGACAAATACTTGTATTTGCTGACACTTTTCTTTTTTGCCAGCTCGTGTATCACTCATGTTTGTAATTATTTAAATTATATCAATTTTTATTATTTCAAAAACTTTTACGTTAGTACTGTGTAACTATTTCTTAGATTGGAAATGACGAAAATTATCCGTTAACCCTCGCCCAGCCAACGCTGGATGACATTGACTCGTAACGAAGACGCGACAGTTTGTTTACAGTTCTCCAAAACATCTACAGCGTTGTTGTATTTTTATATTTCACAAATATTTCTATATATATATACAGGGTGGACCGTAACTCTTCGACATCCGGAAATGGGGGGTTGCTAAGATGACTATGAACAACTTTTTCCTTTTCCAAATTGTAGTTTGAAGCTTCGTTTTCGAATTATTAACGAAAAACACTGGCCAATGAGAGCGCGCGTACAGCCCGCGCTCAACCACGGTAGCGCTGACTCTCATCCGCGCCAAAGTTTGGCAACGATTTGATTGCGTAGAGCTATACGTATAGACTAGCCTACTAACACTCTGCCATTTGGTAAGATCTAACCGTGTAGGACACGCTCGTATAATGTTGCGTGCCCCTACACAGACTTTTTCTTTTAACTGCGATAACCTTATTCTATCCCTATTGACTTACTAACAGCGAGCCGTCGCAAGTTCCCCTACATCTTCTACTTCTAGGCCCTGAGTGACGTCGAGACTTCACTTTAGGTTTGTCAGATAGTACATATATTACATACATACATATGTAGCTGATAGACGAATGCTATGAATTTCATCCTATACGAAATGAAAAACGCACGAAATTATGGACCAAAATAATATATGTTAAAAATAAATAAGACGTATATTGTGCGAAAAGTGACTAAATTTCAGAATACTTCTCGTTTTGCTTGCAATTCTGAACTGACTTTTCTTTCTTTCAGTTAAATTTTCCTTGTCCTTTTGACCGAAACTTGGTCGTCAACGCAATCGAAGACGTGTAACCGGCAGGTCGCGTCGCGATAAAATATGCTCTAGCAACAAATGGCGCAAATTTTCGCAAAAACTTTTTGTTTCATTGTAAACATAAAGCTTCACAGAACATAATAATGCTTGAAAGAAGACCGAGACTCACACTGATGTATAACAAAATCACTATTGAAATCTTGCAATCGTAAAAAATAGTATTTATGTATTAAACACGTATAAATATCAACAACCACCAAAAGATACATAATAAAACAGTACAGACCTTTTAGAATATAGAATATACTTACCAGAAAAACTTCTATAATGAAAAAAAGGACGCATCTTCTATAAAACATAAAAAACGTTTCAGGGAATTTCAAGGGCCTGACGCGCACCACAAAAATTATTAAACTTTGGCAAAGCATAACACATCATGGGTGCACGAATGATTAAAAAAACAATGTCAGGGCATTGTTCCTCACATATTTAACTACCTCGTGTGATAAAAATTTTTTCGCTTAGATAAAATTTTTCAAACTGACTTTCGGCCAGCTAAATCAGCCATTTGAACCACTGCACAGTGGGCCAGGAACCCCAAAAAATTGACCAAAAGTCGAGTAGAGAGTTAACGTAAGAAAGACTTATCATCATACTCAGGAATAGTTAAAGTACACATCTACAAAATATTTTGTTGATTCAACAATTTCTGTTCCATTGGTATTGATCTAAAGTTGAAAAACGCTTTGAAATTGCTGGTATGTCTGCTTCTGGTAACATGACTGTTATTCATCAATTTACGTTTAATTTATGAAATTTTTTTTATTTATTTATTTATAGATACA